GAAATAACTGATATATGAGTCCACGTAATGGGATAAAAAATAATCCAGTGGACCCTATAAGAGATCAGGAAGATTCTAAATTTTCAAGATCGAGGATGAAAGCCCACTAGAAACATAGAGTACGATATTTTACCTCAGAGCACAATACGAGCGATGCACAATAGTGGTCAATCACGATGCGCGACCTTAGTCGACCCAATGCGCGTTTGGAAAGGTCGACAGATTTTGCCCGTCGTGATTAGCCAACGGGCTGCAAACTCTTGGAGGCGTATACTATTGTTAATCGCCTGTATATATGCCGGGAGAGATGGGTCATTGGCCCAAATTAATAGTTTTTTCGTCGATTTGCCTGAAAATTCTGGAGACGCATTTGTTCATGCGTGAAGCCCTATTTTTATGACAGTCATTTGTCCTACACAAATTTGCAAGAATCTTTTAGGTTGACAAGCTTAGTTTGAATTGAAGTTGCAGAGCACTGACTGTGTGTTTGCCAATTACATTACAAAACACGAACGGACCAAGTTTGGCAGTATGTGTGACACCAACAAAGGTCATATCAGTGACGGCCTTCGTGGGAGTCAAAAATAACAAAATTCATTTCCTACATGTGTCCACGTCGCAGATCGCATAATAGAATGTATATAGTGGGCGAATGTGGACCAAAGTTCCGTCGCCGCGAATTGAATTCAACAAACTGTGATTTCGTCCAAATAAAAACTCACCTCAACAGTAGAACTGAATTTTGGCCGAGTCAAAGTACAAATGTAGTATGCCGGGATTGTAGCTTGTAACGTTATTTGGCGAACGTGTTGACATTTTGTGGTAAGTCTATAGCATTGCACAGGGACGGTTTCTCATTACCGGAAAAACCCAGCGTCTATTTTTAGAGCACATACATGTGACAGTTGACTTGTTCCCGGTCGTTTCACTGTCGGTCCAACTAGTGAGTCCAGTTTTCAAGTTTTCTTTGAGGAAGTGAGTTATTCCTTGCACCACACACGAATTAGAAACATGCATTCCTAAACTGATGGCAAAATATTGGTAACTTCACCGATGCTGTCAAGACCGTAGTTTTCTAACGCGTGGCGGGGGGGGAGGCTCCCCGTTCATTCACTTGGTGCAGTGTAGGCTTATTAAATACTGTGGACGCATTGACAACCTACTTGTGTGCATTAAAAATAAACCATCGGTTATACTTTTGTGCACGGTGTGTATTCTGATATTTTCCCTTCAGTATCTGGTGGGATGGGGTTGAAACAAGCACATCAACAAAGAAATTACACTTCAAAACCAGTTACCTTTAACACCCCTGGTGTTATTAGAGGACCATGTGAGCGCTTTTCTTCGTGTTAAACATTTTGGTGTTATTTCAACACTGTTGGTGTCACTGTTAACATATTATACTACTTGTAGGTATGTAAAGTAACCCAGCGACGTGAAGTAACGCCATTTGCTGTGGTCAAATTAAAAGTGTTGTTTTTTTAACAATAACAGGGTTTTTTAGTGCAACAATCGTGTATACCAAATTAAAGACAAAAGCTTATTCTTTCACTCATTAGAATGGTCTGCATGGACAGACGCCGGATCGTGCTCGGCTGCGTGCTCGTGTGGTTACGGCACCGTGAATCGCGTCAGGACCTGCCGCGACAATCGCACTGATTGCCCGGGGCCCAACAGCGAAACGGCCCAATGCAAAAGTGTTTCTTGCGGAGGTAAGATTGTATGCTAAAGATGTCTCTGTAATACTAGAGGGAATGAAAGAAAGGTCTAATAATGTGTTAGGGAAGCGAAGTTTATAATGACACTCACAAGTTGCAAAATATCCTTGAAATCGGAATGTGTGTAGGTTACTGATGTCTGCCTTGAGCAGAAGCACCCCCGTAGCGACCGGACCGTAACGCATATTTCATAGTTGTTTGTGAACCAGCGAAGTACAGTCCCCACCAAATGAACGCCTGTTCTTAGAAAAATTGCGCCCTCTCTTGGCCACTATTAAATGCATAATTAGTATCTTTTTCAAACATGCTAACCAAGTCAATAACATTCCGTTATACGGTCGATTCATAACAATGCCCTTCTAAGAGTTTCCAAACGCACATTAGGTTGGCAGATTTCCCACACTGTGATTGGTTAACGTGTTGCAAACTGTAGGAGACGCAGTATTCTGAATCACCCGCATTATCTTTAAATCAAGACGTGACATGCTCGAGTGTGGGCTTTGCTTTGGACAAGTCTGGTTTTGTTTAGTTCAGAATCAATTTACTGAAAACAATGTTCTAGTAAATCTTATAGCATGGCTTGAAATCTAAGCCCCGCCCCTCCGGAGTGTATATTAATTTTATCATGTTAGGCCTGACAATAGCAAGATTAAACAATCGTTTGTCCTGAATCATGGGTGAATAGTGATTTGGTCTTCTGTGCTAGGCTACGGCCTCTATCATTATTTGAAGTTCGGTTTCCGATACACTCTCCTTTACTCCGATTAGCACCATGGAGATTGGTGGGCGGGTCCCG